AAGGCTTTGTTTCATTTCATCAACTAAGGAAATGGTGGACGCTTCATCAAGAAGAGCATATGAGCAATACCCGAAACCGTCAAAATGATGTCTCTAGACTTGCTGATAATGTGGCCAAATCCTAAAGTGGTGGCAGCTTTGATAGTCTCACCTAGCCACGAATGAAAAATTTTTATTTTTTAGTCAATTTTTTCTTTTAACTTTTGATAGTATTTTACGAAGGTAATACGTTGATGCATGGCAAGCTTGTCTAAAATCTCATCGAAAATTAAAGGGTTTCTTATTTGATCTATATCATTGATATTCAGCAAAGTGTGAACCAGATTGGTGATTATGTCATAGAATGCAAAAAGTTTGTCGTATTTGTCGTCTCTAATAACTGGGAACTGTTTGATTTTGTAAAGGAGCAATCTTATTATATAACATGAGTCTCCAAAACGCTCTTTTAGGATTTCAATAATAGTGTGATAATGGTGGTGATAAAATTAAAAGTGCCAGAACACATTCTTTGGCACGTCCTCCTAAAGCTTTTCTGAGTCTACTTAAGTTTTCATAGTCATTGAAATTACAAGTTTTAGTACTATTTTCAAACTCTGCATAGAATATGGGCCACTCTAATGGGTGCCCTGAAAACGATGGAAGATCTTGTTTGTTCGTCTGCCTGGCCATGAATGTTTCGATATCGTTATGGTTAGATAATTTGTTTTCAGACATAGTATCGTTTTGAAACTTAAGCTTACGTTGAGCTCCATTGACCCACTAACGCGTACGGACATCTTTGTTGTCGTCGTCATATTGTTCCAGATTGTCCAGATTGTTGTCATCTATTTGGCTGACTGCATCGGATCCCAATTGGGCCAAATATAATTGCTGCTCGAGATCCATTTGTTCCTGTTGAAATGGTATCCGTGCTCGCTCTTGTTCCTCTTTTGCAGTTGATCCCGTAGCTCCTGTTGTTTCTTAGAGTACTCAAGCTGTACCTGAAGTCGTTGCACCTTGGCTGAACTGCGGGAGGACTGACTTCCTCCGAACTGTATGCGGTTTCCATGCGCTTATTATCGCCGGTGTAGATGCAACCAGTGTTTGGTTGCGATTTTCTAGAATTGTGTCCCTTGTGGTCGAAAGATCGGGTCGCGGTGTGTCGGCAGGTCTATCCGCTTTATTTTGTTTTGGGTTTGAAGTTTTTTGTTTCCACCTCACAGAGATCGTAGAGAAATCATTTATTGCGTCGTAGATTCCGAATTTCGCAATATTACGATATATTGCAAACTTTCGCGAATACACACACACAACTCAAGTCGTCGTCTATGTGAGCGTGTATGTGAAGTTCTGAGTAAAAGAGAAAACTTTTTTCAATCCATTTGCTGTTCAGTTGACATCGAAGGACCATGTTGAGGGTTTACCGATCGAAAGACCAAATTTAAAATGCACGTCTCAGATTTTTACGTCGTTCACATAGACACTTTATTTCGCAAGTTGTGGCCTCTTCTGTCGGCGCTGCCAATTCGGTTTTTACAAAAATTCTTATTGTAAAAGGGCTAAATTATAAATGTATTCTTCAACACCTATCGTCTGGTATATATTTAAATTTGAACTAAAAATATAATATATAATGTTCAACAAAAACCATTAACCAGCTAACGGAAACCAAGAATACAGCTAACTAAAATACACAGTATAAAAAAAATGTCAACAATGATGCGTGAGGACGCTTAAAGGCGCCTCTCATCTCAACCATAGTATCTCAGCCATTGAAGGCAATATACATAGTATCTCAGCCATTGAAGGCAATATTTAAGTCCCAGCCACTGAAGGCCTGATTAGATATTAAGTTTCCCAAATATATGTTTAAGTCTAAAACCTAAGTAATCCTAGTTTTCAAATAGGCGTGCGCAAGGTTACCAGTATTGATCAGCAAGATCAGTCCGCTGGCCAGTCAGGGCGAATGCCCAACGGTATCGATAAGTTATCGCAATCACCCGTGAACAAGCGCGCGTGCTGTTATAGAGTAAGAGAAGAAGCAGAGACTAAAAACCCACATACTGAGTGCGAAGGTTAGGGAGAAATACTAAGTGAATAAAAGGAACATAAAGTTGTAAAATTTAAACCCCCAAGCCTGGCTACTAAAATTTAGTAAACTTCGCTGAGTGTTTTCGGGTCGGCTAGGTTACCGTATTGCGTTTCCGATGTTTATTTTCTCTACGCAACGCGGACACCAAAGCTACCCACGTGCTACTCCAGGTCGGGCAAGTTCTCGTATTGCGTTTCCGAGGTTTATTTTTTCTACGCAATACCAACGCTTACCAGATTAGAGAAAAGCGCGGGAAACTATCGCCGACCTTTTTCTGCTCACGCTCAGGTTAGGGAGAGGCTAATAAGATTTAGTAAATTTTCGCGGAGGGGCTTTTCGGGTCAGTCAGGTTTCTGAGTTGCGTTTCCGAGGTTTGATTTCTCTACGCAACACGGACGCCAAAGCTGACCGCGTCCCTATTCACGTCGGACAAGTTACCGTTACCGTTATATTAGTGGCGCCCCCCTTTTTTGTGTTGCGTTTCCGAGGTTCGTTTTTCTCTACGCAACGCGGACGACGAGGTTGTCCGCGTGCTCGTTCGCGTCGGACAAGTTCCCGTATTGCGCTTCCGAGGCTTTCTCTGTGTAATACGGACGCTTGCCGGACCGGAAAAGCTAACCCCGATCGCCCACGCTTAGGCCCAGTCGAAATCCCCGTGAGTTAAATTTTCGGCGGCCCCGTTTTCGTGTTGCGTTTCCGAGGTTCGTTTTCTCTACGCAAGACGGACGACGAGGCTGTACGCGTGCTCGTTCCCGTCGGACAAGTTCCCGTATTGCGCTTCCGAGGCTTTATCTGTGCAATACGGACGCTTGCCAGACCGGAAAAGCTACCCGGGTGCTAATTGGTGTCGGCCAGTTGACATTCCGCCTCCGAGCGATCTACTCTACGTAGAGGTGGAGACCCAGACCACGTGATCCCGAAAACAAAATCCCGGCGGCAACTCCCAGTCCCGTTTCGTCTCCTGTGTTTCTACAAATTTAACTGTAGAGGACTCTAGCCGGGCTGAAGTCTATTCCAGCCTATGAAACGACTCAGGGACGACCTAGGTATCCTGTATTAGTTGGGTTTTCAGTATCAACCGCATGGCTTAAAGACCCATGTCCAGCCGTGGGATTTTTTTTGATTAGGAGCACCCAAGATTTCAAAGCCTAGTTAAAGAGTAAATAGGGGAATCTGTACTGCCACATACGACAACGCCAATCTACTCCGCAAGTGCGCCGCTTACCATGAGCATCCCAGCGACCAACTGCGCCGCACCCCGTCCGCTTACTCAGCCCGCTCACATCAGGAGCACTCCGGAGTCCAGCCGTGCCCCCGCCTCAGCGCCGCCTACTGAGGGCCCTCCGGAATCCACGCTCATCAGGAGCATCCCAGTGGGCCACCTGCGCCGCTTACCAAGAGCGCTCCCAGAGGCCGCTCACATCAGGAGCGATTCCAAAGCTCAGCAGCGCCACACCCCGAGCGCCCCCAGAGCCCGCTCACCTCAGGAGCACCCCAGAGACCGCTCGCACAACGAGCAGCCCAGCGATCAGCAGCGCTCGCCCTCCGAGCGCCCCCAGAGGCCGCTCACACTAGGAGCACCACGGAGGCCAGCTTCGCCGCCCGGCTTGCGCCCCGCAGCAGCGCCATCCACACTGCCAGCTACAGCACTCACCGCGACGAGGAAAACAATCGCCACGCTCACCGTGGACCCCGGATCCTGCGCCACCACCAGCCGCTAGTCGGGAGACCCAGCCACTCCCACATCAGCATCCGCGTGACGCCCACTCAGAGGCCCAACAGCAGCGGGCACCCAGCCACATCGTTCACCGGGTCGACCGATGAAAACGAACCGGGAACAGAAAGCGTCGGAGGACGCCGAACAAAAACCAGCTTCGTCAGCCGCCAGACAGATCGAGGAGGGGAGCTCCTCCGAATCCGACGACGCATCCACGACCCGAGCCATGGGGGTCAGGTGGATTTCCTACCGGCGGAAGGACGAACTCCAAACTATACTCAAGGAGTTCGGTCTGAACACCCACGGCCAGGTGGACAAACTGCGACCCCGGCTTGCATCGTTCATCGGAGGGTCCAACCACAGTCCGGCGCTCCGGGAACGCTTTGCCGCATTGGAGGCCATCTACCCGGAGGCTCCTACATCAAAGGTAGTGACAAACCGGTCCACCTCACCAATGCCCGGCGCAGGGGACACCCTTCTCTCCGTGCCACCCCCAGAACATCGTCACAGGAGCCCAAGACGAGGAGCCCAAGGCTCCCACCCCGCTGCCCAATCGCCACCCCAGCACATGTCCGCAGCCGCATTCGCCGAGAAGCTTCGGGGATGGGGCGTGCTTTTCGATGGGCAAGCCGACCACCTGCACTACATGGAACAAGTCGAGGAAGGCGCTACAGCATTCAGCGTACGTAACAGCGACATCCCACGGGCCATCGCTGGATTACTATCGGGCCGCGCCGAAGGCTGGTACCGAGCCTACCAGATGCACACCGTGCCCTGGAAAACTTTCAAGCGGGAGTTCTTGGAATTTTTCCCCCCTCCACGGTACTACCAGCGCCTGGAGGATGCGATCAGGACCCGACACCAGCAAGGCGGCGAGCCTTTCAAGTTCTATGTGGTAGAACTACGCCTGATGATGCAGCGGGCAAATTACTCGTTCGAACAGGAGCTCGAAAGGATTTACGAGAACCTGCTGCTGAAGTATCAACTCTTCATAAGGCGGCATGAATTCTCCTCGCTGGAAGGGTTGACGCAACTAGCCACCGCTTTCGAAATTGCGCGGGACCGAGACCCAGTACGACAAGCAGCACTCGTTCCACCCGCCAGTGGAAGCTACACTACGAGGAGCAGCCCCCGCCCGGCCCTCGCCGACGAGAGCCCATACGACCAGCTACGACGCCTTTCGGCACATCGAATCCAGCGATATCAAACCGGATGATTTCCCAGGAGGCCGAAACACCTGACGACGTGGCCCGAGCCTGTAGTCGCTGCGCTGAGGTGGGACACTTCGTCCGGGAATGCCAGAACCCACCAGTCCTATACTGCTGGGACTGCGGGAAACGTGGTACCCGCACCATTGACTGCTGCCGCCAGTCGGGAAACAGCCGGGGTCCTCGCACACAGGGAGCAGGCGGCGACCCACCCAGCGCTCCCCCACCATTAGATCCACCGCTCCGCTTGACGGGAGGCCGGATCGTCTTCACGGTTACCGTCGAGGGGCAACTCTTCTCGGCAACCATCGACACGGGGGCCCGGCAACCAAGGCCCTGCACGCACAAGTGCGCCTGGACCAACAACATGTCCGCATGACCCTCCTGGTCCTGCCAACGATATTGGACGAGGTGATCCTCGGGATTGACTTCCTCTGCGGCATCTGGGCAACCCTAATCTGCGGTCAAGTGTGCCTCCAGCTAGCTCCGCCTGCCACACGAAGAGCCGAACCAGGCCCAGCCCCCCGAGCCCACAGCGGCGGTCGCCCACCTTTCGGACCCACCGACTCCTACCCGGCGGACAACAAGGACCAAGGAGAAGGTCACAACGGGTCCCATACCCGCCCCAAGGCAGCACATCAAGTGGACTGCGGGACGGAACCCAGCCCCAGTTCCATCGGAGCCCTCGACACCACCGGTCTCTCCCGACATTACCACGGGAATCACGAAGGCCGATGTTATCGTCAAGGAAGGCAAGTACAGCCTCAGCCACTACCGGATGCCGCCGTGGCCAAGAGAAGGAACCTTAGAGCTCGCGGGTCGGCCCTAACAACGACGAACGTTCCGATGACCCGGATACGCCACGATTTTCCCCGTGAAGCCCGCAAAGAATCGGGAAGTACCAGCTACTCGCCCAACCGGATACAGAGGACGCTCAGAGGCGCAATCCGTTCCGGAAGCATTGCCCTCACGGACACCTGGCTACAGTCGCGGAATCCCCGCCGGATCGCTAGTGTCTGAAGAACCTCTCGACGCGGTAACCCTCCGGTAGCCGAGCACACCATCACCCGGCCTTGCAGCGTATCATCAACGAGCAGGTGGACGAACTGCTGCAGTACGGACGAATCGAACCCTTTTGAAGTCCGCAGCGCACCGCTGGTGTTTGTCCGAAAGAAGACAGGGGACATGCGGATGTGCGTTGACTATCGTCAACGTCTACGGAACGCCCGGTTCATCTCCACGTTGGACCTCAAAAACGGAATAGACAGATTCTCATGGCGGAAGGCAGTCGAGAATGCACCGCATTCACTGTCCCCGGACGTGGACTCTTCCACTAGAAAGACATGCCGTTTGGGCTCCACTCCGCCCCAGCGACTTTCCAACGAGCTCTGGACAGCGTCATCGGCCCCGATATGGAGCCTCACGCCTTCGCCTATTTATACGACATCATCGTAATCGGGGCAATGTGGGAGGACCATGCGCGCAATCTGAGGGAAGTCTTCCGGCGCCTTCGAGAAGCGAATCTACGCTTAAATCTTTCAAATAGTTAACTTCTTTTTTTTTTTTTTACCCAAAAGGGTTGAAGCACTAAATATTATTTTCATAACGAATATTAATGTTGTAATTAATTATAATTTTTGTTATGGATCTTATTCACAAATGGTGTCTTAATTTATTAAAATGAGCCTAAACATAATTACCTTTAATATAGATGTTATTGGGAGTTTCTTACTTTTCCATATTAAAAGATTAGAAAATCGTGCTTATGATACTAATTTCGTGAAAGTTAATCTTATTCTTAATGGGGGTGGTTGTTGCTAGACAAAAGTGGTCGGTTTAGCTAGGTTTTTATTATACCCTTGCAGAGGGTATTATAATTTTGGTCAAAAGTGTGCAACGCAGTGAAGGAGATATCTCCGACCCTATAAAGTATCGCGTCCTGAGTTGATATAAGAATGTCCGTCTGTCTGTCCGTCTGTCTGTTTCTACGCGAACTAGTCTCTAGTTTTAAAGATATCGAATTGAAATTTGCACACACCTTTCTTTCCTTTGCACGCAATATATAAGTCGGAATGGCCGGGATCGGCCGAGATCGGCCGACTATATCCTATAGCCGCCATATAACTGATTGATCGGAAATGCCATAACTTTGATGTTTTAAAAGTTAAGAAGTTGGGATTTTTTATGGGGGTTATTTGGCCTGTCTGTCCGTCTGTCTGTTTCAACGCGAACTAGTCTCTCAGTATTAAAGATATCAAATTGAAACTTTGCACACACCCTTATTTCCTTTGCACGCAATATATAAGTAGGAAAGGGATCGGGCGACTATATCCTGTAGCCGTCATATAACTGATTGATCGGAAATTCCATAACTTTGATGTTTGTAATGTTAGGGATGTTCTGATTTTGTATGGGTTTTGTATTTGGGAAATCAATCCGACCTACCAAATTTCATAAGGATCAGCCGACTATATCATATAGCTGCCATATAACTGAACGATTGGATATACCATAACCTACAGAATATTCTGCAGGGTATATCAACTTCGGCTCAGCACGAAGTTAGCTTTCCTTTCTTGTTTTTTAGAAAACTCTTATTGAGAAACACATGAGAGATTGGATCGGCTTAAAATAAAATACAAAATATGTAGAGATGGGTTACACGTTGTTGTTGTTGCTGACGTTTTATGACGTTTTATTGGCAATGGAACGCTTTTACTTTATATATTTGTTTTGGCAAAAGCCGTATACTTAGCTTCGAGCAACAACCATCTTCTGTAGCGCTGGTAGAAAAACGTAAAACATATGGTAACACAAGTTGGTTACTATAATTTGATAGATAAAGTTTTATTAGTTTTAATTTCCATATTAATAATTTACAGAGTCACACGTTTGTCTTCGAAGCTTGATCCTGGTCGAGAGAGTGTGACCAGCCTAGTCTTTTCAATTTGGGATTTTGTTTTGGTACTGCTTCCGTCCGCTATGTGGGTTCTTAATCTGGACCGCCACAGTACTCCCTCCCTAGTGACGACGTCACGATGTTATGAATTGGACTCTTCGCTTCTCGCAGGTTCGTGGTTTCCCATTGCTTTCAAGTTGAAAGTCCTGTTATGCATCGCTTCTAAAGAATGAATGTCCACAGACACAGCTACTTCTTTTCCGTTGACATTTAACGTAAATACTCGGTCATTATTGCGATGTACAACTTCAAATGGGCCAGTGTATGGTGGCTCGGTGCGAATGATGCGTGCGAGCATTTGTCTATTCCTTTAAGACGGAACATTTTTTGGTTGCTATGCTGTACAGCTGGAGTTGGACGTATTTTTCGCATCTGTTCGCGAAAGCTACTAATAAAAGAAGCAGGATCTGGGCTTGCATCTATGTCTTCGAAGAATTCGTTTGGCAAGCGTACCGATGTACCGTAGAGCATCTCGGCAGCCGATGAGTTGAGATCCTCTTTAAAGCACGTTCGAAGTCCTAGCAAGACGACAAGTAGCAGTTCTGGCCAGTGAGAGTGCCCTCGAGGCAATGCTTGAAGTATTTTATGGCTTCATAAATTGAGAGCAATTCCCGATCGTAAGTGCTGTAGTTTTTCTCAGTGTCCGAGAGTTTCTTTGAGAAAAAAACCAAGTGGTTGCTTATGGTCGTCGATTACCTGTTCTAGTGCAGCACCTATCGCGACATCAGAATCATCACATACCAGGACCAGTTGTGTAGTTGGACTCGGATGAGCCAACAGTACCGCGATACGATCTGGAGTCCATTCAACCAGGCGCTGGTCGTTTTTCCTGACGTTCCTCAGGAGCTGTGAAAGAGGTGCCTGGATGTGTGACGAACGGGGCAGGCGCCTTCGATAATAGTTGATGATGCCGAGGAATCGTCTAAGCTCGCAGATAGAGGGCCTCACATAGTTTTGAATAGCTTCTACACGATGACTTGGAGGTTTGATTCCGTGCTCATTGATGATGTAGCTCAGAAACTGCACCTCGGCCTGGGCCAGCTGACACTTGCTAAGGTTAATGCTGAGTCCATGGCTACGAAGCATCTCCAAGACGGCACGAAGATGCTTCTCGTGTTCCAAAACACCTGGACATGATCAGGATATCGTCTATATAGCAATAAACGAAATCAACGCCACGAAAAATATTGTCGATGAATCTTTGGAAGGTTTGCGTAGCATTCTTTAGACCAAACGGCATATAGAGGAACTCGATAAGTCCAAGCGGAGTGCAAACGGCGGTTTTAGGGATATCACACTCAGCCATTGGAATCTGATAGTACGCCTTCACCAGATCGAGTGTAGAAAATATTTTTTTCCCGTGTAGCTGCTCCGAGAAGTCGTGGATGTGAGCAATTGGATAACAGTCAGGTACCGCTATAGGATTGAGCTTGCGATAGTCCCCGTAAGAACGCCAACCACCATCCTTTTTGCTGACCATATGTAATGGGCTTGACCATTGGCTCTTGGAAGGGCGACAAATGCCTTCATTAATCAAGAAGTTTATCTCTGCTTTCGCGGTGATTAGTTTATCACCAGACAGACGGCGTGGGATATTGGACTTCCCGTGGTTTCGATGTAGTGGTTTACATCGTGCCGGGTGCTTGTCCTATGTGCTGGTATGGTGACGTCCACGAATTCCTGCAGTAGGCTTTGAAATCCGTATTTACCATTAATGGTAGACACAGAGTGATGTTTCGCGTTCGAAAGCAAAGCCGGGCTCGACAAGTTGGTGTTTGCATCAATTAGTTTTTTGCCTTTAACGTCGACGAGCAGGTTGAAATGGGACAAGAATTCGGCGCCTATGATAGCTAACTCGGTGTCAGCTACGATGAAAGGCCACATGAAAGAACGGCGAAGTCAAAAGTTGAGGTCAACCACCACGCTGCCGTAGGTGTGGATGACAGTTCCATTTGCTGCATACAATGTGAGATCGCTTTGTTAGACGTTTTGCGTAGTTCGTGAGCGTGGCTTGACTGAGACCACAGAACCCGAGTCTATGAGGAATCTGCGGTGTGAGTTGCGATCGGTAATGTGAAGACAGATTTCTATGAACTTGTTAGGTTGTTCGCCGTTGCTTGCTGGTCTGCCGCCATCCAGCCCTGAAGGCGACATCTGCATTTAAAGGATGTGCAAAAGAGCAAGGAGATTTGCACTTGCGTGCATCTTTTCCAAAGCGATGATGGTAATAACAAAGCTCTTGCTGATCATCAGACTGCTGCGACTGGGAACGAGAGTCATTCGGAGATTGAGTGCGTGGCTGAGAACCAGAACGGTACTGAGACGAAGCGCGTGTCTGGCTGATAGAACGGTCTCTGGATTGTCGTTTGAGCTCACCTTGGATTGTATCGACCTTTTTGGCCAGTTGGCGTAAAGATTCG